CTTGAAATCAGTAACAGAAAGATAACTAAAATATTTGGAGATTAAACAACACATTTCAAAATAACACACAGGTCAAAGAAGAAGTCTCAAGAGAAATTAAAAAATATTTTTAACTAAATGAAAATAAAATCTATGAAAATTTGTGGGATGCAGAAAAAGCATCCCACAAATGCTTAGAGGGAAATTTATAGCATTGAACACATATATTAGAAAAGAAGAATGATCTAAAATCAATAACCTAAGGTTCTATGTTAGGAAATTTGGAAAAAAAAAAAAAAAAAAAGAGCAAACCGAATCCAAAGTAAGCAGATGAACACAATAAAAATTATAGCAGAAATCAATAAAATTGGAAACAAAAAAATTAATAGAGGAAATCAACAAATCTAAAAGCTGATTCTTTGTCTTTTTTTTGATAAAAATATAGATAACACAACATTTGCCAGTTAAAAACTGATTCTTTGAAAAGGTTACTAAAATTGATAAACTTCTGGTCAGGCTAATAAAAACAAGAGGGAAAGAAGACACAAATTACCACTATCAGAAACTAAAGAGGGGCCATCGCTACTAATTTCATGAACATTAAAAGGATAATAAAGGAATATTATGAACAACTCTATGTCCCAAAATTTGAGAATTTAGATGATACGGACCAATTTCTTGAAAAACGTAATCAACCAAACTCACGCAAGAAGAAAAAGATAATCTGAAAATGCCTATATCTATTAAAAAAATTAAATCAATAACTAATTTTAAACCTTCCAAAACAGAAAGCACCAGAACCAGATGGTTTCACTGGTGAATTCTACCAAACATTTAAGGAAGAAATGATATTAATTCTGTACAATTTCTTCCAGACAACAGGAGCAGAGGGAACACTTCCTAAATCCTTCTATGAGGACAACATTACCTTAATACTAAAACCAGATAAAGACATTCCTAGGTAGGAAAACCATAGACCAGTTATCTTTCATGAACATAACATATTAGGAAATCAAACCCAACAATGTATAAAAGGAAATACAAGACATGGCCAAGTGGGATTTAGTCCAAGCATGAAAACTAGTCAACATTTAAAAATCAATTAATATGGTTCATCGCATCACATCATATCCTCAACGAGAAGGACTGACACAGTGGCTGCAACAGTGTGCTCAAGTATAACGACTGTGAGGATGGCACAGGACCAGGCACTGCTTCGTTCTATTGTATATAAGGTTGCTGTGAGTTGGAACCGAATCAACACATCACCTGACAACAACAACAACATCACATCAATAGGCTAAAGAAGAAAAATCATACGATTATATCAATACATACAGAAAAAGCATTTGACACAATGCAAAACCCATCCATGATAACAAGCATCAGCAAGCTAGAAATAGAGGGGAACTTCCTCTACTTGATAAAGAACATCTACAAGAAACCTACAACTAACATCATTCTTAATGGCGAGAAACTAGATGCTTTCCCCCTAAGATTAGGAGCAAGACAAGGGTGACTCTTCTACACGCTTCCTATTCAACACTGTACTGGAATTCCTAGCTAACATAATTAGACAAGAAAAGGAAATAAAGTGCGTATAGACTGGGAAGGAAGAAATAAAACTGTCTTTGCTTTGATGCCCTTTAATAGGTGATGAATAAACAAACTGGTATATCTACATAATGGAGGATTATGCAGTGATAAAAAGAAATGAGCTATCATGCTATGAAAAGACATGCAGGAACCCAAACGCATACTGCTAAATGAAAGAAGCCAGCCTGAAAAAGTTACATACTGATTCCAACTCTATATCTTGAAAATCAAAACTGTCAAGACAGTAAAAAGATCAGTGTTTGCCAGAGATCCAGAGAGAAGGGAAGGGAAGAACAGGTGGAGCACAGGGCGTTTTAAGGGCAGTGAAACTATTCTGCATGGTACTGTAATGGTGGACACACGACACGATGCATTTGTCAAAACTCACAGAACACAAGGAGTGAAGCCTTATGTAAAGTATGGGCTTTAGTTAATAATAACGGATCAATATTGGCTCATCAGTTGTGACAAATGTACCACAAAAGTGCAAGATATTTATAATAGGAGAAACTGTGGGGGGAGGGGGAGGGTAAAGAGAAACACTCTTTCTGTGCAACTCTTCTGCAAGCCTACAATTGCTCTAAAAAATAAAGTCTAATAAAAAAATAACTCAAATAATCCAGCAGCATATAAAATCAAGTAAAACTTTGCTTCCCTATCCCCTTACTAAGCCACTCCCCATGGTAATCTCTGACCACAGTTTGATGTATTTCCTTCCAGAACTTTTTCTGTGCATTAGTATATATCTATAAATACATTGATATAATTTTTATATTATTTTAATTTACAAAAGACCAGCTCATACTCCTATTTTCCTGAAACTTGCTTCTTTCACTTAGTATTATAGGATGGCCATCCTTTTAGAAAAGCCCATGTGGCTCTAGCACCTCTTTCTGATAGGTGCAGAGAACGCTATCCACTGACACAACACAGGCTGTTGAACAGTCCTTTACTGAGGGACACTACTATTGACTCAGTGTCTCACTGTCACGACAAAGCAGCAGTGAACATTCTTACATACAGTCTTGTAAACTTCTTTGAGTAGGAGATTCCTGAAAGTAGACTTGTTGGGTGAAAGGGTGTTATTGTTGTGTGCCGTTGAGTCAATTCCAACTATAGTGACCCTATACGACAGAGAAGAACTGCCTCTTAGGGTTTCCTGGGCTATAGTCTTTCCAGGAGCAGATCACCAATTTTTTTTTTCCTGCAGAGTAGCTGGTGAGTTTGAACCGCCTACCTTTCGGTTAGCAGCCCAGCACTTAACCACTGCACCACCAGGGCTCCTTGGGTGAAAGGGTAGGTGTTTTAGTTATCTAGGGCTGCTATAACAGAAATACGACAAGTGGATGGCTTTAACAAAAACAAATTTATTCTCTCACAGCGTAGTAGGCTAAAAGTCCAAATTCAGGGCATCAACTCCAGGGAGAGGCTTTCTCTCTCTGTCAGCTCTGAAGAAGGTCCTTCTCATTAATCTTCCCCCAGACTAGGAACTTTTCCACGCAGGAATCCCAGGTCCAAAGGATGCGCTCTGCTCCTGGCGCTGCTTTCTTGGTAATATAAGGTTCCCCTGTCTCTCTGCTCACGTCTTTTATATCTCTAAAGAGATTGGCTCAAGACACAATCCAATCTTGTAGATTGAGTCCTGCCTCATTAACATAACTGTCGCCTATCCCACTTCATTAACATCAGAGAGGTAGGATTTACAACACACAGGAAAATCACATCAGATGACAAAATGGTGGACAGTCACACAACACTGGAAATCATGACCTAGCCAAATTGATACACATATTCTGGGGGGACACAATTCAACATTGTGTTGACATGACAGTAGGTACATTTAAAATTTTGCTAGGTATTGTCAAATGATTATACCAATTTGTTCTCTCAACAATAAGGTCCAGCCATTCATTTTGACTTTCTTTTCTCATTAAATCTTTTCATATTCCTAGACTTAAGATCTCAGAAAAAAAAACCCTTCAATTTGTATACGAGAAAACAGAGATTTAGCGTTGAAGTTAAGCCCGTGGATCCAAGACCTCAAAGCCCCTGAGGAGATACATACCTCTGCACTAGCAAGGGGCTCAGGGAAGGGTGGGCACGCAGAAAGCCAGGACAGCAACTTGGGTTAACTGACTTCAAGGTAATGTGTTTCATGATAGCTACTAACAAGTAGGAAAGGGGAACAGCTGAAGTCTCCTTTTCCTTACCTACCCTCAGCAAGAAAGGAAAAAAAAAAAAGCTGTAAATACCTAAAAGATACATTAGCAAGAGGGAGAAGAGCAGCAGTATTCTCAAACTCGGTGGAGTAATGGCCACCAAGAACTGAAGGTATCATAAGTTCAGCTGCATGAAGTGAGCAAGTGCAGTGGAAAAGACTCTGACACGGGATGACCTTAGCAGAAAGCCTTCCACAGCCCCAGTGGGTTGTATGAAAAGTTTCTTGGTCCTAAATATCTCCATGTGGCATCCAAAATGAATGCCAGCACTGAAACCAAATTCTGAAGAGAAATATCAGAAAAGAACTAACATCCCACAATGAAGAAACATCTTCAAAGAAGATGTTGTTATAAAAACACCACAAAAGTACTTTCCAACAAATTCCAGACCTAAAAGTAAAGCTTTAAAATGAGGCTCCAAGCACTGAAGTCTTGAATCCTTTGCTCTGTGCCTTAAGAGGCCCATTTAAAGGAAATCACTTTTCACCAGATAACACTGTCTTTATTCTACTACACCTATGGGGCATAACAATGTGAAAAGAGGCTGACAACTGTATCTTCTGGAATTAAAATGGTCTAGAACAGGGGTTAGCAAAACGTCTTCTGTAAAAAAGCCAGAGAGAAACTCTTCTAGGCTTTGCAGGCCATACAGTCTCTGTAGTAAACACTCAACTCTTGCCATGGTAGTGCAAAAACAGCCATAGATGTGTCAACAAATAAACACGGCCATGTTCCAATGAAACTTTTTTTATAGACACTGAAATTTGAATTTCATAGAATTTTCATGAAATATTATTCTTGTGTTTATTTTTTTCAGCCATTTAAAAACGTAAAAACCATTCTTAGCTACACGCTGTTCAAAAACAGGCAGTGGGCTGGATGTACCTCGCAGGCCATGATTTGCCCACCCTTTATACAGAAGCTCTTAGTTTGTACAGAAGCACTTAGTTCTCAATTGAACCCAACTTGACCACTGGAAAGATGGGAACATATGAGCCCAGCCTCAAGAGAAGTTAAGTTAGAAGGCAGGAAGGTAGAAACTAGTTGTTCTTAAAGGGTTTCAGGTGTTTACCTTAAATCTCTTCTCTTGCTGAATTCCTCTTGTGGAATTGTCCATGGCAGGTTCTGAGGGAGACATTTTAGAACTTCTGAAGAGAAATCAGAGAAATCCACACCATATTCTGTTAGTATTCCTTCTGTTTCAGGCTCGATTTCACCAGCCTGTCCAAGGCTCTTAGCCAGCTGCCTGTGGACAAGACAGAGTGAGAATAACCGGTTAGTGAATAAATGGAATGCAGGCACCTGTCTCCTCTCTAAAAGTGAGAGTCTGAGGGAAGTCTTCACAACCTTCTCCCCTCCTATCAGCAGAAGTATGATCACCAGTGAGTGGGGGACCCAACCAGAAGAAACAATAACACTGTTGTCCTGTATAAAGCCCATGACTATTTTTACCTCTTTCTTCAGGAATTTCGAACTGGGGAATGGGGCCAGAAGGCCTTTCTTAGGACTCCTGCCGTGATTTTTCACAGGTAAGTCAAAATTCATGTTGTTAGAGGCTTTCATCAATTCTTCCTCTTGCAAACATTTAGAGACAATTCTGATTAACGCCGTTGTTTACTCATTACTATAGGCCATGCTTGCTAGATTAGATCTGATATTTATATTTATTTTACAATCCTACTAGGTTTGACCTTAACATTCTAAAATATTGTACCTGAACACAAAAGTAATACATGTTCACTACAGAGAAGTTAGTCAATGTAGAAATGCATAGGGAAGAAAATTAAAATGATCTATAACCCAGTCACCCAGCAAACTACCATTCATGTTTTAGGGTACTGGGCCCATTCAGAGTAAAATTCCACTTAGTAGAATAGGCCTGACATTACGAGTAGGATTCCACGTTCTATAGGGCAGATCTCACTCTTTATCTGTGGGTCATCTACATACATATTAAAAGCAGCAGCTCTCCATTCTCATAAGAATAACACTAATTCTGGATTTGGGTTGGCTTTCTTCATTCATTCCACCTACTGAAATAACTTTTATACAATTATATTCTTACTCATCACTTTTTGTAATCAGGGATTTCACTTATGGAAGTAAAGCCCACAGAATTCACTAATTAGAATGGGATAGTGGTCTACTGAAGATTAAATTATGGGACTAGTTGGAAAGTGCACAGTAAGGATCAGCATAAATCCAATCCCCAAAATGTGGAGATTAATCCAGACTTCACATTCCCACTTCTCCATCCTCATCGCCAGCTACCCCTGGCACACACTCTCTCTGACCCTAGCCACCTGGAGTGAAATCAGAGGTCACAAGTTAAAGGACACCATCCTTCAGACTGCCAAATAGGCAAGACATAAGCCACAAGTTTGGAGAGTTCACATGACACCCTGGCATTCTGACCTGCTGGCCACAAATTCAGGGCTAGTTCCCACTACCCCTTCAGGATGCCAGCCATAAACTTGGGAGTTAACACGACATCCTTACTTTATGACGTGCTTGTTCCTCTTACCCCTTTGGGTTCAATAATCCACGAGAACAACTCATAAAGGTCATGGAGAGCATACCATACTTACAACTACAGATTTATTATCACCAAAAACGATACAAATGAAGAGATGCCTAGAGCAAAGTCTGGGAGGGTTCCCAACATGAAGCTTCCATGTCCCAAGGGACACTTTACCCTCCCAAGAGAAGATGTTCTCATCAACCAGGAAGCTCTCTGAGCCTCCGTGTTCAGGGCTTTTTTATCAGCCAGTCCTGCATGATAAGCTAAATCATGCCTGTAGGGGCTAGTTGATATCGACCTCCCAGGTAAGTCTTTTCTGGTCTGGCCAGCACAAATTCTGAGTTATGGCCTGGAAGTCTCTGGCCAAGGCATCCCAGTTGCTCCAACTGTTATTTCTCTGTAGAAAAGGACAAAAGTCACCTTACTGAGGGTAAAACTAGGTCCTTTACTGCACAGGAAGCAATACCTTGAGAGGCTGGAATACTATCCTCCAGGATACAATGTTGCTACAACTTAGTATCCTAAAACCAGTGCACATGGTCTGGGAACCAAAGGTGGAAAATAAAGAGTTGTGCCTTTCAATACCATACTTAAGACTCACTCACAAAGTTTTTAGTCCTGTCCTTCCTCATAATGCTCACTTCTATGGTAAAGAGGGTTTAGTATCTCTGGGGACACAATAATGATTCCTCTCAATTGAAAGCTGACACTGTAAGAACACCAACTGATATAAAAAGGCATAGAATACACTACCCACTTCCTTCCTGAAAAAAATTATTTGCAATTCAAGCTAGATAACTGAGACTCAGAAGTAAGGATTTAAGAATGGCAAGTAGTAGTACTATAAGGAAGTTAATCCTATATCATGTTGAGCCATATGAAATCACCAATATTTGATCATTTTTGACCTATAAAACCACAGTTCCACATGATTCTATTTAACAGCATTTTTAAAATCACAAAAAAAAATCAACTATGCAATCAGACAGCATACATAGCTTTTAGGAGAAGTGTAAACAATGAGCTGTATCACAGACAGCATATTAGAGAAACTAATCAGTCAAACAGCTGTCATGGAGTTAATCCCACCTGCGGCACCCCCGTGTGTGTCAGAGTGGAACTGGGCTCCATAGGGTTTTTAATGGCTGAGTGGTTTTTTTGTTTTTGTTTTTATTGTAGTTTTAGATGAAGGTTTACAGAGCAAATTAGTTTCTCATTAAACAATACACATACTGTTTTGTGACACTGGTTGCCACCCCCATGACATGTGAACACTCTCCCCTTCTTGACCCTGGGTTCGCCGTTACTAGCTTTCCTGTCCCCTCCTGCCTTCTCGTCCTTCCCCCTGGGCTGGTGTGCCCATTTAGTCTTGTTTTGTTTTATGGGCCTGTCTAATCCTCGGTTGAAGGGTGAACCTCACGAGTGACTTCAGTACTCAGTTAAAAGTCTGGGAGCCATACTTTCAGGGTTTCTCCAGTCTCTGTCGGACCAGTAAGTCTTGTCTTTTGCATGTCTTTTGCGTGTGTGTGTGTGTGAGTTAGAATTTTTTTTTACATTTTTCTCCAGCTCTGTCCAGGACCCTCTACTGTGATCCCTGTCAGAGCAGTCGGTGGTGGTAGCCTGGCATCATCTAGTTGTGCTGGACTCAGTCTGGTGAAAGCTGTGGCAGTTGTGATCCCTTAGTCCTTTGGGCTAACCTTCCCCTTGTGTCTTTGGTTTTCTTCATTCTTTCTTGCTCCAGATGGGGTGAGACCAGTGGAGTATCTTAGATGGCAGCTGGCAAGCTTTTAAGACCCCAGACGCTACTAACCAAAGGAGCATGTACAACATTTTCTTTATAAACTACGTTATGCTAACTGAGCCAGACATTCCCTGAGACCATGGTCCCCTCAATGGCTGAGTTTTTTAAAGTAGGTCATCAGGCCTTTCTTCTGAAGTACCTCTAAATGGACTTGAGCCACCGAATTCATATAAAAAGAAACGCATTCTTGTATGTGGTGAGAGCTTCAGTAACAGTACTTGTGAGGCAGACATAGAACACAGTGACTGTTACAGATTAAACTGGGTTCCTCAAAAACATGTGTTGTAAATACTAACCTGTGGTGGAAACCGTGGTGGCACAGTGGTTAAGATCTATGGCTGTTAACCAAAAGGTCGGTAGTTCGAATCCAACAGGCGTTCCTTGGAAACCCTAAGGGGCAGTTCTACTCTCTCCTATAGGGTCACTGAGTCGGAACTGACTGGATAACAACGGGCTTGGGGTTTTTTTTGTATACCTGTAGTTCTAATTCCATTTGAGATTGGGCTTTCTTTGTTATGGTAACGAGGAAGTATCAGGGTAGCTTGTGTCTTGAGTCAATCTCTTCTGAGATGTTAAAAAAAGCCACTTAGAAGCAAGCAGAGATGGGGGAAGAAAGATGCCAAGTCCCATGAAGATCACCCAGGAGCAAAAGGTCAAAAAGAGACAAGGACCTTCCTCCAGAGCCAAGAGAGAAAGCTTTCCCCTACATCTGGCACCCTAAATTCAGACTTCTAGCCTCTTAAACTGTAAGAAAATAAAATTCTATTTGTTAAAGCTGCCCACTTGTAGCATTTCTGTTACAGCAGCAATAGATACCTCAGACAATGACCATCTACTCTTCCTAAGCCAAAACTGATCCCTTTATGCCTGAAGTAAAAAAGGGCCTACAAACCTGAAGGGAAAAAAAAAAAAAAAAAACGCATTTTATAATGTTTAACTTTTAAATACTAAAATCCAGGGAGAACTCACACTATTTAAAAATGAGAGGGGGAGGGTGAGAAAAAAGAAACCAGCCCAAGCATTCTATTTTTAAAAATACTGCATATACAAAGGAAGAAAGGAACAGGAAAAAGAAATGGCAGATCAATGAAACATACCCTATCAATACACAGCCTCAGAAATGAAAACCATAGCCAAAGATATACCCAAGAACTCAAAAACTGATGAAAATACCACCATACAATGAGAACTCAAAGCAAAGATATAAGGAATAAATAAGCAAGGGTGTGTGGAATAAATTAAGTCACAAAAGTAAATAAAAACTAGGTTTTTGGACCTCAGGAAATAAGTAGGACAGAACAATAAAACTACTACTGATTCAGGAAATAATATTGGAGTTATTATTCCCTGTCCTGGAGCACAGAGAATGTGATCCAGCTGGAGCTGGGCCCACAAGGACTCACAAGGACACATCAACTGGGCCCTGAGGTATAAAGACAATAGCTAAGATAATCTTGGAAAATATCTTTTAGGGAAACTTTCACAAACAGAACACAAAAGACTTTCCACTCTTAACTTTTTCTATTAGCATTTAGTAAATAGAAATTTGCTGGACCAATGAAGACCCTCCTGACTCTCCTTACTGAAACCTGTACCAATGATTGTTAACAAAGACGATTCAAAATGAAAGATTACAATTTCTAGCCAATCAGTGAAAAGGTGACGCTTTCAATGATACTACCCATTTTGTGATGTTGATATATACTGATTGATGATTCTGAAACCTTCCTCGGACTCAGGCAGACATGGCTGTGGCAGCATACTTGTCCGTTTTCCCATTCTAGCCTATTCTGTAATTTTCTTTGGACTCGGGCAGACATGGCTGTGGCAGCATGCTTGTCTGTCTTCCCATTCTTGCCTATTCTGTAATACTCTTTGGACTCCGGCAGGCGTAGCTGTGGCAGCATGCTTGTCTGTCTTCCCATTCTTGCCTATTCTGTAATATTCTTTGGACTCGGGCAGACATGGCTGTGGCAGCATGCTTGTC